GACCATTCATTAACAGTTACAATGGCACTGCAAAAAGTTACTTATGATCATTTTTCATACTTACAACCCTTTCAGCATCCCCATGGTCACATGATCAAAATTCGGATGCTTAGCAACTGGTTCATATTTATAACAATTACAAGGAACAAGAGAGCCTTTTAAATGTTAGTATTAACATTTGAGGGTTTAAGTACAAAACAAAGGGAATTAGATATGAATAGTATGAAAAATAAATACATTAGTAAGAATTTAAAAAATTAAATTAATGTTACAAATATTTTCTGACCAATCTGTATTTGCTATTTTCTCTATTGTACAGAATTCATTACTATATGAATTATTTTCTGTTATGGTTCATTCCGGAAGTGCAGCTGGCGGTCACTATTATGCATGCATAAAATCCTTTAGTGATGATCAGTGGTACAGTTTCAATGATCAACATGTTAGCAAGGTAAGTTATTATAGTGATCCCAGCAAGAATGTCTACAATGAAACAAAACACCATATAGCTTTAAATTTAAGCTGCATGCAGTTTTAAAAAGTGGCATCAGCTTGTCCAAAGTAGGCCAGGTCAGGAAACAGATTTCTTGACAATGTCTGAAACGCGGCTTTTATTCAGATAGGCTCTAATAACCGAATCTTGAAAGCCTAACTAGATGGTTCTTTTTGTCCCTCTTACACTCCAGGAAGTTTAAAGTCAGTCTGTATTCTTTATTTGCGGGGGACGGGGGAATATTTTTGTAACAGTCACTGCATGGTTCAACATTGCAATATTCTGTTTTCTTTTTCTCTGGTTATGTATTCAAGTTACTAGTTCACAGAGAAATATGATTTCCATGTAGGGCTTGGTTATGTTCCTGGAATAGTATATAATAAGTATGTAATTTATTTAAATATACTAAATGTGTATCACCTTAATTTTCCAATTAGATAACTCATGAAGACATTAAGAAAACTTATGGTGGATCATCTGGAAGTCGTGGCTACTACTCCAGTGCTTTTGCAAGGTAGCAGATTGTACTTCTGTAGCTGATTAACTTTACCCTTGTAATGGATTAATACAATTATTTGCTTTAGTGAATAATTAGTAGATGTATATGTTTCACATTCACAAATGATTTTGGTTGGTTTACAATGCAAATATATACATCTTTAAAAGCCTATATATAGTCATTTTAAAACTAGCAAAAATCCATAAATACCTTAACATTTGTTCAAAATGAGGAACAGAAAATATCTCAGCATGTCGAAACCAGTATTCAATCCATAGCACAGGGATAGGGGAGCCTCCATTTTGAAGACCTACAGCAGACTTTGAAAAAAGCAGGTATCATCCTGGCAACTGTGACCGGAACGGCAGTTGGAGCTCCAGCTATACCAATCCATGAGTGATCGGTTCTGCCTCAGGAAGTCAGCCTTAAGGAGAAGATATATTATGGCGAAGACCAGTCTAACTGCATTTATAAACAGCCTGGTGTAGCACCTATAAGTGCACTTCTGTTTTCATTATCCAGCATTATCCTTGATTATTTGGCACTTTTTAAATGGCAGCTGTGCTTTTATCATTTTGTGAAAAGTAAGGCTCCAGATCTTCTGCCTTGACAAATGGGATGTAACTCATTTGAAGCAGAGGATTCTTGTACCTTTAAGACTTATTCTTTGAGGTTTTATAGAAATGCTCCTGGATTTGAATAGTGCACTGTTTGATCTTTTGATTATAAAAAGGTTGAATCCATATAATTACTTTTACTAAGATGTAATTATGCATTTTATTTTGGGCTTTTAAATGCATATGTATTTTAACATGCAAGATATAAATACTATTTTTGTTTGATTTATATCACTCCAATAGCTCAACAAATGCATACATGCTTATATATAGACTAAAGGATACAACTAGAAATGCAAGTAAGTACACATTCCATTATTCACAGGTTGATTGTGGTTTTAATGATATTTCCGATGTTATTGAATCACCTCATTTCTGTACAATCTAGCTAAATTGCTTTTTTTCTCTCCAGTTCATGAAAGGAGAAAAATTAATCCAAATTAATAGGAAGATATATATAGGGTTTTTTGTTCCTTTTTGAATTTGATAGCATGCTATCANTCTTACCAAAACTTGTCAGTAAATTGATAGTACAGTGTTAGCTGATTTTTCAATTAATTGCAAAATAACCTGAGGGGAGGCCATTAAACCTTTTTAAAAAATGGCCACATAAAAGTAATCCTTGACTTACAATACTTCATTTAGTGACTGTTCATTAACAGTTACAATGGCACTGCAAAAAGTTACTTATGACCATTTTTCACACTTACAACCCTTGCAGCATCCCCATGGTCACATGATCAAAATTCGGATGCTTAGCAACTGGTTCATATTTATGACAATTACAATGTCCCTGGTAATATGATTAGTTTTGCGACCTTCTGACAAGCAAGGTCAATGGGGGACAAATTCACTTAACAACCGTGTTACTAACTTGACAAATGCAATTATTCACTTAACTGTGGCCAGAAAAGTCGTAAAATGGGACAAACTCACTTAAATGTTTCACTTAGCAACGTAAATTTTGGACTCAATTATGGTTTTTACTCGAGAACTAGTAGAGATAGCCTTATGTCAATTGTCTGTCTGTCTGTTTTACAGACAGCTATCTATCTTACAAGAAAGATTTTACCAATACCATAATGAGAACATGAATTACATGACTTTAGAATAATGAATGTCAGTAGCTGATTTCATCTGTAAGAAAATTTTCTAAAATACCAGCAGTTATTTTACCTAATTGCAGGTTAAAGGAAAATAGTATTAGTTAACAATTCCCAGCGAAAAGAAACAAAAGCATAATATAGAATGTTGATTTTCATAGTCATATCCAACTTGCTGAAATACATTCTATGGCCAATTGCTATTGGTGAGAGTACCATAGCAAAATGCTGCTTAAAATCCAAAAGAGATGGCAAGAAATGAAAACGAACAGATTTTATTAGAAGTAATAATATAAGTAATAAATGAGCAGGAAATATTAGAATTAGGAAATGAGCAGGGGGGATAATATTTAATGTTTATAAAATTTGGTACTACTTAAATATTCTTATAAATATTCAGAGTTGTTTTATTTGCTTTGTTTCTTGTCAGGAAGCTAGTTATTTCACAAAATGTGACTGCAGTGAATATGCTCTGATATAAATAGGACAAGGAACAAGAGAGCCTTTTAAATGTTAGTATTAACATTTGAGGGTTTAAGTACAAAACAAAGGGAATTAGATATGAATA